CTAATCCTACCACCTACCCTGCATCCTACCATCTACCTGATCCTACGCACCCTGATCCTACACCTACCCTGATCCTACCGCCCCACCTTCGATCCTACCCCCTACCCCTGATTGCCTGCACGCTCGTGTGCGAGTCAGCTCCTGTTCGTCAGCTTCGGCCGCCGCTTGAAGTAGAAGGCGGGCAGAAAGAGGTAGATGAGCACAACGGCGAGCACCGCGAACAGGCAGCAAACCGCCGATCAGCCCTCCCAAAGATCTTCACTCCTCTCTTGCTGTCGCCGCGCGCCGGGAGGCACGCCGCCGCCCCGCTGCCATCCACTGCCGCGTCCTCACGCTGCTGGCCATCTGTAACGACGACCAGGCGTGAATGAGCGACAGGATTCCCCTCGGGGATTTCAGATGTGTTGGGTAATCGGGGGGAATTTATCCCCGATGTCGATTGGAGTCGATTACGCATGTTGTGACAGGTTTTTTGACAATAGCGTCTACTGTCTGGGACGACAACTTGAACCACGTGTCTGTGCACGCATCTCACCTACGACGAGAGGTACTTTGTTCATTCTCCTCCTCTCTGAATGCACTGTATGCAACCTTGGTGATCTATAACAGCAAGCAACAAACCTATGTATGATTTATGTTGATGCTTAAAAAAGCATGCAGGTATCTTTGATTGGGCCATGAAGGCAGCACATTGTTACAAGGCTTTCATATAGTCAAAGCAAAAATATGATCAGATGGCCTTGATGGGCTTGACTATAATTATTACATTTACATTATGTGTTTGTGGCCTGCGTGCATGCATATAGGCTTAAAACGCACCATTTTCTTTTTGTATACATAGCCCCTTCTGCTGAAGCTGACAGCACCAAAGTACTGCGGCATAATTCTTGGATGGGTCGAGAGGTCCATTAAAGAATCCACCGTACGTAGTATCTCCGATCGTGAAGTAGCTTTTCAACTTCAATGAACGTGTCCTAGCTTGGTCAGGTTGGCAGCTGGTAAGATCAGAGGCAACAGGTGATATTAGGGCACGTGCACACAAACTGTGAATATGGGTGGCTCCAAACAGACATGGGGCAATGTCAGAGGTCAGCCACTCTGAGTCTGTGCATGGGATAGGACAATGTGGGCACTAAGCGAGTCAAGGATACAGTACATACCCAACTTGGGTGGTGAATAATAAGTAATCTAAATCAAATTTTAAATATATCTTGATTCAGATAATAAGTTAAGGCTCCTGGCTCAATAGGAGAAAAGTGATACTTTCACTGCAGATATGTAATAATAGAAAGTATCACACAGCTACAAAAGGTACATTTAGAAGTGTTTTTAATTCGGGTAGTATATAAGAAGCGATCTACTCAGATAGTAAGGCAATCCATGGCCGGGAGCATTATTGTAATCCAGCAGCTGGCTGGATCAAACTGCACGGGTGAGCTGATGTCAAATACCACCCACATGGTACCCACTGAAATACACACACACACACACACCACACACACATTTTTATAAAGCATGCATCATTGACCACGGGTTCAATTTAGCTGAAAATCTAGTGGACAGCACTTCAAGAAAGTTGGTGGTCCTGCACAAAAGTTGGTGGTCCGCTTATTTACTAGCAGTGAGTAACAAAATAGTATACAAAAATAATCATTGGCATCAACAGCATACATGTAACTGAGAGTTGGTCAAATAATATATTTCAACTCTAGGAATGTCGGGGGAGCTTCTGGAAAGAGGTTTACTTTCATTTTTTGGCCTCCCCAGTCCTCGGTACCCCATGCATAGATCAATGGTGCCGGCACGATCGCAAAGTCAGCAAGTGCCTAGCAATCTTGATGAAATAGAAGTATATACAGTTTACATTGCTTCTAGATATCTAACTGAATAAAAATAGTCCACTTTCTGCATAAAGAAAATTGACAGATTCAGTTAACGCTTTTGATTACGTGATTGTCAGGTGTCACTGGTCGTGCCCTCACTCCCCCGATAAACCCCTGCGACATATGAACTTATTGTTATGAGGTTATAAAAACACTGAGCTACGCTACATGCGCTGCAATTAGATTTCTTTGTCGCGTCACTGAGGTTTTGTGCGTGTGGCGAATTCATGCGTTGAGGGAGTTATGCCGCTCGGCTCTAGATGTTTTTGGACAAGCCGTCTACCTTCAGAACGGAGCATATTAGAATGCCCTCCGGTAGCAAGTCTGTCTAAACTGCCAGTTGCAATAACCGTAGTATTTCAGCGTAATATGAGGGAAAAAGTGCTTGGTGAGGAGGACCGGCAGTTTTGTAGAGTTCGGTGGCCGAAGCAAAACTTGGTTGGCCTCGCTCTCCGGTGTCGGCACAAGTTTCGAACGCCTGATCATGACACTATGACACAACCTGAGATATTTAAGAATATGGTTATGAAAGAAGTCTGACTATGTTATAAAAGAATTAATACTGGTCTGTCGCGAGTCCAGATGATGTTGCTACCTGGTGGCATGTCTGCTAAATACATACAAGGCTGGCGCTCACATAATAAAATGTCTTATCTTCAGGGTGACATCATTGGCATATAGCAATCTCTGCACAGGCAGCTGTAGCATATTACAAGATGCACAGAAATAAAGTTTTCGTTACTATGCTGACGCATATTGTGCGGCCCCGCCATGTGCAACTTTCTGCCAGAAAATAGTTCTCAAAAACATGTTTTAGAGTCAATATAAGTGTATGCGTCGTTATCTAATTATTTATATTTATTAGTAAGTTAACTGCTAGGAAATAAATGACAACAATGCTACTGCTTTACACAACTGGTGGAGTGGTGACTTTCACCCATGACCTCAGCTGACGCAAAAGATCATACATCAATCTCAGTGACATTACCACTGCTGAAGTGGAGTAAGGTCATTAGGTGAGGAGATTAGGATATGCTGAGTGCCACTTGCAGTTGCGGCGGCAACTGTAGGACTTACGTGATTGGGCCATTGATTGAGTATGCAGGTGGGAGATAGATGGTTCATCGACTTCTCAACAGCCTCCGTTATTCGGTGATGGTGGCTTGTCGGGTCTACACACGCAGAGACAGATGTCAGATCACATGATACCGAACGATATATATACTAGGGGTTGGGGCATGGTTATTTTTGGTACGGGCGGAATTAGACAATTATAGTTATCCGGGAACCGCAGGAAAGCTTGAAATAGCAATTTTAATTAACCGGAACTGGCAAATGGCTTATTTATTTTAAAATCTTGAAAACTAGGAATGGCCCCCCTTCCTATAGGAAAACATTTTGTGGCACTGTGAATTTTAATAACCACATGCTGAAACAGTGTCAATCATTTGTTTCATGAATATCGCAATATTAGCGACAAGTAGCTACGTGTCACCAACTCACTACACCCTATAAATATGATGTCAATATACGTTATAGATAAACAAATTTCAAATTAAGACAAGACAAGACAATACTGTTGGCTTTATTCAAAACGAGTATCGAAAATATAAAACTAAAGTAATGGTGACCTGCTGGGCCATTCACATAATGCCTACTAGTGGCACGCTACGTAACACAACCCATGGCTACGAGCTACGAGAGGCATTATATATATATCTCAGGGGTTAATAACGACAATTGTCATCATGTCATTTGTCATTGTCAATATGTTCATTTTGCTTATTTTCGTTCATCTGTATTAATCCGCTGATATATATTGTGTGGTGTGTGTGCGTGTGTATACACTGTCATATGTAGCTTCCGCCCGAGCGAACCCACCTCCGATGAGCGTCGCAGATGTTGCGCATGAGCGGGTTGCGCGCGGCGCGTCGGTTGCGCGCGCCATCACGTTGATGAAACGTACTCAGTGCCCGGCAGCAGGTTGGCGATGCTGTAGGTGAACGTGTTCGGCGGCACCGTGTACGTCACGCGTGTACTCTGTTCACGTTGGCATCCACCAGCGGGTTTTGTAGGAGAACAGCGGCAGCCGCGACATCTGCGGGGTGAATAACGATATTGGGATACTTGTCCAATTGGATGTCGAAACGTTTACGGTACGTTTAAATTCTTGTTCGGTTAAAAAGAACTTATTCATTTATTAGATTATACAAACAGATGAACTATATTCACAGTATGGAATACTGTTTTCAGATATCGCTTTATTCATTCTAGGATGACATCACAAATGACGGAGAGTCTGTAACACGCAAAGTGATAACACAGCAACAAGATATGTAACACACAGTACATACTCTCTACGGGAAACAAACACGGGGCGGAACGTGGATGACTCATGCTGCGCCATCTAACGGTGCTGTCAGGTTCATCAGAAGCGGGAACGTATAACACGATTTACATGGCATAAGAAAAAGGAAGCATGATCTTTCATATACACACACATATATTATATAGATAAAACTAGTAATTCCCCCCTTCCTATAGGAAAACATTTTGTGCACGTGTGAATTTAAAACGGCAACATGCTGAAAAAGTGTCAATCATTTGTTTTCATGAATATCGCCAATATTAGACAAGTAGCTACGTGTCACCAACTCACTACACCCTATAATATGATGTCAATACGTTATAGACTACACAAATTTCAAATTAAGACAAGACAAGACAATACTGTTGCTTTATTCATTATGGACAAATACACAATGGATATAATAATAATAGCAGTGACACAGCATGTGTATAACTGTAATAAAATGACTCAGCAAGCTGAGCATCTATGAGATCGTGGGCACGGCCTATTATTCTGGGTACAATGAGACCAATATTTCTGAGAGAGGAACACTTACATGAGTTGTCTCTCCCTGGTTTTGATAATTTGTGTATCATAAAGGATTCGCAACGTATCAAATAAGCACATATACCACAGAAATGTTAGATCTTTGTAATACAGTCAAACCTGTATATAAGGGTCACTCACGACAAAACCCAAAAAGTTTCCTTTATAGACAAGTGTGACAGCAATGGACACGCGTTATCCTGAACGCGTTAGATGCATACCTCGTAGTTGGTGATGGCTCCGTACGAGGTTCCGGGAGGGTCCCAGCGCAGCGTGATCGAGTTCTCCGATTTCGTGAGCACTTCTAGCTTCGAAGGTTTGCCCGGCACTGCAAGAGAGCGAAACGTAAATCAGTCTAGATGCACGGAATGCAATAAAAGCTAGTCGCGTGCACAAGCAACGAAGCCAAGCACACACAGAGTGGCAACAATGTGAATGATGTAATCAATGAACAGGCGGCACCACTGTAGGGGTAGGGAGGCACATACATAGCACGTCCCACCATACCACGAGACGCTGCTAAGATTTATTATCGGCAGTGTTAACCCGGCCAAAGATATCAGGATCAGCTTCATCTGCGGCACCTGCAGTAGTCAAAATAGTAATATGGATACGAGTCGAAATATGCTAATGAGTAATTTCTGGTAACACGGATGTGAAAAAATGAAATTCTTTATTTCTATTTCAAACTTCCCAACTCAACTGGTATAAACATCAGTTAATCATAATCCAAACATGTAATGTCAACTTCCGAACTAGAAACATACAAAAATTGTTTTTCACAAGGTAGACAGCTTGTTCGCATGTTAGGACGTTGCGGACGTTATTGTTTTGACAGACAAAGTGGTGTTTTGTTTCAAGCTAATTTATTTTCAGGAAACCAACCCAGATGTCTGTGTTAGCAAAAGTAAACTGCTATTTAATAATCAATCAATCAACTGATGTTTTCAAACGTGATTTTAGACATGTCGGTATCCTCTAAGGCCAACCACATTTTATGTCACCTGTTTGACAGACAACCTAACGTCCGGAACAGATGGTTTAAAATCAAAATTTGAAGAAGGTAGAGACGTTTTGTGAAATGTGTTATTACATTTACTGAGAGATGCTTACATGATGTGCTGTACCATAAAACATTTATGGGGAAATTTCAGCAGCTGTGCAGTTAATATATAGTTCTTTAAAAGGTGTCATGACATGTTACAAACTCACTCTGCAAACATGGGCTCCTTCTGAACTTCATCCTATAATTACTAGAAAAGTGGTAGGGAGAACAATCTCAAACTGTGCATGCTGTTTCTCTATGATCTAATGTGTAATGACAGAAAATCCCAGACAATTCCATGAGGAATAAATATTATAATTCCCCAGGGGAATAAAACGGGTGCTAAATTACGCATTAGGATATTTCGACTCATATACAAGTGTAATATATTACGATCATATTATAATATTAAACTGCAGCTGTCAAACATCGGTGCTCATCTCATCATAGCTACTGCGTCTGCTGCTTCTACTGCTACTGCTGCTGCTTCTGCTGCTGCTGCTGCTATACTACTCCTGTTACTGCTGCTGCTGTTGCTCCTGCTGCTTTTCTTTGTTGCTGCTATTAGTACAAATGCTATTGCTGCAACTATTGTTGCTGTTGCTCTGCTGCTGCAGACCAGTGGCAGATCCAGGATTTTGAGATGGGGAGGGGGCGCAACCGCGTAGCCAGGATTTCATTTTAGGGGATGCGGATTTTGTGATAGCGCCGGTGCACAGCGACACGCTTTGCGTGCCGAATAGGGGGAGGAAACAAAAAATGGGGGGCGCGCGCCTCTTGATCCGCCACAGCTGACTGTGCTACTGGTGATCCTACTGCCAATGACAGTGTTATTGTTACAAGGCTGTTGCTACAACATCTCTGCTGATGGTCATAGACTAATTAGCATCATCTGCATTACGCAGGCTAAAATATTTGCTCAGCTATAAGTAATTAATGTAGACCAAAAACACCTGGAGTGAATACAGGAGTAATAATACAAAATACAGAAGCGAATTGTACATGGTCCCTTTCCCACCTTGACCTCTGAGGGCTCTGACCATTGGCTTTCAATGATGACAGAATCTGGTCTTTTCGGACAGCCTACTCGTTGCTATTGTTGAGAGACAAAAGGACAGGTAAGGTGGACACACTTGCTATTCAAAGGTTAAAGCAAACAAGAACGCTTTTATGGGTGCACTACATATATATACAGTTTGACATAAACTAAAGTGGAACCCAGTAACATTTTACTTGCAGATCTGCCCCCTTCTTGCAACTCAAGCGACACATATGTAAAGTTATTGTGTGTAGTGAAGAACACTCCGTGTGCTGAAAGGAAAACTCGGGTGGGAGAAGAGACATATGAGGACAGGACGGAGCACAAAGCTGTGGGTGAAACTGAAAGGCCAGCGATGCGAGAAAAAACTCACTGTTGCAAAACTGAACTAGTGCATGAAGGAACACACGTGTAGGGTGTAACACGGGGGGTGGGGTGGAACACTTCCGCAATCTACATGCATTGAGGCAGTGAGTAAACCTTTACCTGTGTGACCTTCAAATCGATGCAAATGCATGAAAAACGGGTAGCAAAAACATGACGCATTTGTTTTATGTTACGGAAATAGGGCTTTGTTTTCTATTAATGTTAATTTTAGTTAAATTTTAAATGAAAAGTTATTAATTACATACTTTCTAGTCTCCAACTAACACTAATCACGGCATAGTGACTAATGCATTTGTACGTTTCTAATAATTACTCTACAATACACTCTAGTATATCCCTAATCATTATCATTTACAAATTACACTGAACAATGAGCAACAAAACAGTACACCACCATATAATAGCTACACAAACCAAATGACATGGCTTACTGGCATTTACTACATGAACATCGTAAAATGTGCCGTTGGTTGAATGGTCGTTTGCCATCACTGAATATGTGCGTTTTCCAATACAAATACAAGTACGTACCCAACAATTATTACTAATTCCTGCGTATGAGCATGACAGACAACAGGTATCATTGCATAGTTAAAGTGTACACCTTCTAAAATACACACCTGGAACATCTGTGTCAAATATAGAGTTAGTTTCCTTGTCTCCGCATATCTGGGTGAGGTCTCCACTGCACTGTGCATTGCAAGTAGCTCGACTATACCTGGGTAAATGGCATAAGGAGCACTTGTTAACAAATTGTCATCTAGATTAAAAGTAGCAGGTTTCCATTCCTGCATACGGCATTGACAATGCCCCCCCCCCCGCCACCTCCTTTCAATCTGATGCTCCCTTTAACACTCTTTCCTTCCACACACTCTCTCTCTCTCTCTCTCTCTCTCTCTCTCTCTCTCTCTCTCTCTCTCTCTCTCTCTCTCTCTCTCTCTCTCTCTAGCTCGCTTATGCTCTTTCTTTTTTCTCTCTTTTTTTCTCTTTCCTTTCAGCTCTATTGTTCGTCCTCTCTCCATTTAGAACTAGCTCGCCCTCTCTCTCTCTCTCGTTCGCTCTCTCCCTCTATCTCTTTTTCGCTTGCTCTCTCTCTCTCTCGCTCTCTCTCTCTCTCTCTCT